GCACGGTCCTCTGCAGCAGCAGCAAAGCCCGGCACGTTTTTTAAAAGGAAATTAGTGCAGGAATGATTGAAATTTAAAACGACCTTTTCGTGGTTGGAATGAAAGCATTATTTTGTTTTAAGTTAATGAGATGGGCCTTTGTTTCCCTCATTCCGTTCCCAACGAGCATTTAGCTAATGCCAACAAACAATCTTTTTTCCCTTTCTAGCTCTCCCTCTCTCTCTCTCTCCCTCTCTCTCTCTCTCTCTCTCTCCGCTGATGCAGAGAAACAACAAAGTTGTGCTTAACATTAGCCGTCACATCACCTCATTATTTTCTTTTAATTTGCTCGTGTCTTTGTTGTTTGTCGAGCAGACAGCAGCTCATTCAATTTCCAACGAGCACGTGGAAGTATAAACGGGCGGAAAACATAAAGCAGTCGGATAATTGAATCGTTGGCGCTGGTTTGAACCGTTCTTTGATGCACCGTTTCAGTTTCCCGTCAAACTCGATGCATTTGTACTTTTGCTCGGCCTCTGTGTCTTTGTTTGAAACAGCTTTTGAAACCCATTTTGGCTTTGATGAGCTGTCTGCACGCTCTCTGCCTGGACGGTCATGCGGAGTTCGAATCTCTGCGCCCGCGTGTGTGTAACGCGAGCCGCTCGCTGCCGTCGAGCGTTTGCATGAGAGGATCAGAACGCCCGAGCCCCCCCCCCCCTCCATCCCCCATCGTCCCCGGGACCGGCTTCAATGGGCCGGTTTAATGTTACTCCGAACTCCATTTTCCCTCTCACAAGTCCGTCCCCCCCTCCCATCGGTGGCGAACGTTGGACCTGGCTCAGCCCGCTCCTCTGTGATTGGACCCCACGCGCCCCCCCCCCCCCCCCCCACTGTGGCTGTGCCTCTCATCCGCGGCCACACTCGCCTCCCGCCATCCGCCCGCCTCATCCCGCTTCCATCTCTCCGGGTGCCTTTGTCTCCCTCTTTCCCTCCCCTCTCTATTCTACCCATCCATCCATCTGTCCCCTGTCTTTCTCTCGGGAGGCCGGCCCAATTAACCTGTTTAAACAGGCATCTGAGCGTCCCATCCATCGCAATGTGGCCGCGCGAGAGAGAGACAGAGGGAGGGAGAGAGCCAGCCGCCCTCCCCCCCCCCACCCAACACACACACACACACACACTCACACACTCCCCCTCAACTCCAACCCACCCTTTTGCTGGCCTCCCCCTTCCTCCTCCGCGTCACCTTCCCACTCCCCTGTCCTCAATGGGCCTGATTTGCAGGGCGGAGGGGGGGGGGCATGTGATCCATCGCGTCCCGACTTTGACCGATTCCACCAGCTACGGCTCCCATCTGCTCCTCTCAGGAACATTCACTGCACTTCGCCAGCGGCACCCAACAATTGAGTTTTTTTCGCCTCTTCCCTTTCTTGATTGCCCCCCCACACTCCCCCCCCCCCCCCACCCTCCACACATGCAGCCACACTCTGCACAGTTTCATCAATCTCTCTTCTGCCCTTCCCTTCTCCCTTCTCTTCTCACCCCCCCCATCCCCCCCCGCTCTCTTTCTCTCTCCCCTGACTGCATCCTCCCTTCCCCTTTCAACACTTGTCACTTCCTGTCAGGTTGGCCGGCGAACGCGGCTGGAAGGTCACCGCTGTTTTCACCGTCGCTCTCCTCCGTGTCCTTGTCTCCTCGAAAGGGGCGGGGAAGAAAAGTTTAATTGGGAAAAGAAAAGAAGAAAAAAAAAAGGGGGAGGTTTTCGGGCTGCGATGTCACCCGAGGAACACTGGAAGCGCCATTTCACCGCCTTTTTCTGAGCGGCGTTTGTGTGCGTGTGTGTGTTTGTGAACGCTCACGTGGTCGAGGCGGCGGAGGAGAGGCGCGCTGGCCGCTCGCCGCGCTGGGGCGTCTGTGTGCTTTGGCCAGATCAATGTTCAACGCGCTTCAGACGACTTGTTAATGTGCAGCGCTGTGCCGTTGGGCTCCATCGCTCTGCTGTTGGCCGACTTTTATAATCTCTCTTACAGCCGTATCGACCCGACTGTGAGGGAAAGGGCCGCTATGAGGAGGTGTGTGTGTGTGTGTGTGTGTGTGTGTGTGTGTGTGTTTGATTGAGGGGTAAAATTGGAACTGTCTTTTCTCTCTTTCTTTAATTGGAGGCAGAACAGGAGCCTCCGGGTTCTCTCGCCTGTCGATGAGCCCGTCGGTGCGGTGAGTTTGGCTCGACGTGGTCGAGACACGCGGGCAATCACGGAGAATAACCGCCGACACGAATGCACGCGGGGACGCCGTATTCCGATGGCCGTACACCGGCCGCTTGCCTCGCCGATTGCCTCAATCGATTTGGGCTCCTAATGATTTTCATGGAAATATTTTCTTGCCGGGTACACGAAGCGAGTGGCGCGCACCAAATCAGCAAAACGGAGGCTGCTGGCATGTTATGTTTGAAAACGGCATCCTTCTATCCGGGGCGGCCGGGAGGTCGGGAGGTCATCACCGAGCAACCGAAGCCTCACCGGCTGGAATGAAAAGTAGAGAAATGTCGCCGTCGGTGTGTCGGACCGTTCCACCGGCTGCTGCGTCCTCCTCGGGACGGAAAGGGCAAAGCAAGCCAAATGTCCCAGGATGGGACGGTGGCGCTCTGGCCAGCGCGGAGATGATTAACCGCTCCTCAGGTATTTACCCGTGACTGATGCCCCCCGGAAGAAGGAAAACACAACGCGGCAGCTGCGATGACTGCTGTGTTTTTCTTTTTGCTCCTGGTCACATGACTTGACCCCACTGGCTTGCTGCTTTCCCCGGCCAGGACGGGACGGCACAACGTCCCAACGGCTGCAGCTCCTTTACACCACTTTTGTACGGATTGTGTTCTTTGAAAGTACTTTGCACACTCCGGTCGCGCGTTCATTTAGTGCTGAGAGACGCGTGTTGTTGTTGTTGTTTCCCCCCCCTCTGTTTGCAGACACTAAGCCTGGAAAATACAATAAAGCACGCTTGGAATTCGATTTTTAGATTTTTCTTATTGTCATTAAAACCCGACAGCCTTCCAAAAGTCTATTTGCACGGAGACGTTTGCCAACTGGCGTGTTTGTTACCGCCCCCCCCCACCCCCTCCAACCTTGCAGATCTAATCAGAATGTGAAGAATAACAAAGAAAGAAACGGATTGGGATTAGACAAAGAGCAGGCAGACTTCTTCAGTGGTTTGTTTGGGTTGGAAATGTTCGGCTACACAAAGAGAGGAGCGGTCTGATCGACAGCGCCGGCTTTTCTCTTCCTCGCATTGATCTAATCCGTCTGCCGCGTCCCGTCTCCTCACTGAAAAGCTCTGACTCGCCTCCGAGTGACTCTCTGGACGTCCCGCTTTCGAGAGGAGGAGCACCGACTCGGGCAGGCCGGCACATTCAGGGCCGGACGGAAAAAACAAAAAAAGATGTGGGGGGCGGGGTTTATCCTCCCGAATGCCGTGCACGCGTGGGGAGAGGAGGGGAGGAAAGGCCACGGAGACGAGGACGGGAGGCCGATGGTTTTACGCTTCACTCGTCTTCTCCAACTACGTGACACTCATAAGACACCAAACACATGCGATGCGGTTCGGTTCCGCCCCTCGATGTGGCGGAAATGGTTTCTCCTGCCGTCACCTCCCTCCGGTTACCTCGACGCCCGAGTTCCATCTCGTTAGAATACGTATCTTTATTGTGCTCCGTTATAAAGGAGGTTTCCAGCTCATTTGCTGCACATCGGCCACCGTTTGCGATAGTTAACTAATAGCTAATGGCTGTTTTAGTCGGGTATCAATCAAAGCAACCACAAAATGTCTTCATCTTATATGTGAATGTCACTGTCCAACGTTCATTCACACTTTTGGTGGGTGAGTTTTTTTTGTGTCAGTGGCAAATTTTTTTAAATTTAAATTTGTATGGTTGTGTAAACAAAATTGACCTGATGCAGATTTCCCTTCTGTGTTTAGAAGTGAGACTCCCTGCAGAGTCGTTTGTTTAGTGTGACTGCAAAAGCGGTTTTAAATTCCCTGAAGCGCATTCACAAGCTCCTCTTTGAAGATTCCCTAAACGTGTTGTTTCAAAGCGTGACATGCCGAGTGCTGCATGCAGCGTTCATGCTTCTCGCGTGTCTCCAGTCCGTCTCGCCTCAGTGTGAAGAGGACGGGACGCACCGGACCTCCTGGCCGAGAGCTGAGTCCGGCTGCCAGAAAGAAAGACAACAACAAGTACAGCAATTTGCCCTTCAGATTAAAAGCTGAAAGCAGTGTTTTGTCGCTCAAGGATGAAAAAGAAAAAACGCATAGTTCACTTGAGACGCGAGTGGACAGAAGGGCGCAGCTTGAGTTTGTTTTGTTCATGGTTCTAAATGTCCCGTTTATGCAGAAGTGTTTTTTGTTTAGTTTGCTTTGAGCCGTGTATTTCCTTTAAACGTCTCTTCAAGTGTAAACCAGACCTTCTGCTTGCTTACATCTACATATGTGCAGCCCGACTGGACCACAGCAGCTCAGCGTCACGTCGCGGCTTATGAGAACTTTTTTCCTCCTGACGTTTTTTAACTAATGGAGAATAAAGTTGAGGTTTTCCAGCGTTGAACAAGGATAAAGTGACAGGATCTTTTTATCCGGCGGCTTAAAACAGCGCCGGTGCAGTTACATCTCCAATGTGCGAAGTGAAGGACAAGAAGAAATCACATTTAATCAGCATCGGTTCTCCCTCGTGTAATATATTATACCCTTGTGTTGCCGAACTCTAAGGCATAATCTGCTTTATGGTCTATTTAACTCAAAAAGCAAGAGGAACATCATGCAGTATTGAAGAAGACATCAAACTAGAGATTGAGAGCGTAAACTCGTGTTTACAATGTTCACTGAGGGAACACATCCATTTTTATCACAGACTTCTAAACAAGCTGACATCTTTCTTTTTCTCTGTATGACCCCTTCCGACGGCGAGATGAGTTGAGACGTTATCTGACGACCCTTTAACGCTGAATCGCTGCCTTTTCTCTCGCCCGCAGTGGAGTTCGACGACTGCGCGGGCAACGACGCTGTGGTTTTCCGGAGCAGCGACCCAAACTTCGGCGCGCGAGCGGACGGCTCCATCTTCGCCCGGGCGGAGGGCGCCGGCCTGGACCGGCCGGTCCAGTTCAAGCTGACGGCGAGCGGCCCGCACACGGGCGCCTGGGAGACGGTGGTCCAGCTGGCCCTAATCGAGCCTCCATCACTTCGGCTCCACGGAAATGAGGTGAGCCTTCGCGCCGAAGCACATCGTGCTTCAAACTCCAATTATGGCGGCAGAGTTTCTTCGTCCTCCCCTTTTCTCCAGCGGTCTGGTGATAGCAGCCGGCAAGAATCAGGTCAGAACTCCTCGGGGCTTTAGAGAGAGAGGGAGGGAGAGAGAGGGAGGGAGAGGGAAGTAGCAGTGGCACATGGCTCAAGTGATAGAATCACACTGCCACAGGGGGGGAGAGTATGATTCTCTTTCCGTCATAGCTGTATTGGAAGACATCCTGTGCCTCGGATCTCTCCGGGGGATCCCCGACTCTTCCACCTTCCATTTAAAAGCTGTCGGCGGGGGGGGGCCGGGGGGGGTCAGCCGAGGACTGAGCGGCCTGAGCTCCACCGCGCCCTTGATTACAGAGCCGCGGCGCTGAATGTCCTGATGGAATCCCAGATGGGGGCGGGCGAGAGACAACACATGCACGCGGGCCCGAGGTCACCGGCGCGCTTCCTCGGGTGTGGTCATTCATTGTTTCCGTCTCAAAGCGCCGGTCGGTACCGAGTTAACCGCGTCAACTTCGGAGCACATGACGCGCGCGTGTTGCTTTCGTAGACAGATTCAGCTGTTGTTGCAGGAGTCGAAATTAACAGAATAGATGCAAATTGTGGGACTTAATTCCACTTTCATTTGCCCTTTATTGCAGCGCTAAGCCGAGTGAAGAGTCAAACACCCTGGCGCTCATAAATCAGATATGTAAACAAAGACCTTCACATGAGGATTTAATAAACCCTGAACTCTCGAGGTGTGTGTGTGTGTGTGTGTGTGTGTGTAGTGTAACCAGAAGATAAAAATAAAAGCTGCAGCGAGGTGATCTTAATGAACATTCTTCTAATAGTTTCACTTTTTGGAGTAGAGTAGATTTTGCTTCCGGTCGGCTTTTCTCTGTAGTGCGGCCAGAATAAAAAGAGGAGGCGGCGGCTCACAGTCCTCATCGCGCGCGCGGAGACAAACGGGACGTTGGAGTGGGACATCGTAACAGGTCCTTTCGTTCCCGCGCTTTGGTCGGTGTGGTGCGAAACCCCGATGGGTTCAAGGTCAAAACGTTGGGCCAAGCATGGGGGGGGGGGTCAACTAACGCCGCGGAGGTCGGAGGTCAGAAGGAGGCCCCGCCTTTTCACAAACAGGTGTGCAAACGCTGAAACAGAATGTGATGTCTCTTTGTGGAAGCGGCGCTTTGTGGCGTGCCCCGTTGAGTAGTAACTTCCAGATGTTTGGGTAGCTGGGGGCGGGCTGATATCAAAGCGCGCAGGGGTTTTGGGGTAGAGCAGCGGCATGGGGGTGCAGGAGGGGGGGGGGGGGGTGCTGGGACCACCGCCAGCTGGCTGAGGCACCAGGGCTTACGGGGGAGTTAAGAGGGGTTCACGACGCCGCTGTGTGTGTGCGTGATTGTTGTTTGTGCTCCTTTTTTTTGGGGAGGGCGGCGAATCAAGTGTGAATTTTGCGAGTGGCGCGTGGGATTTGTCATTAGCGCGTGTGGCCTGCGTGGCGGTGGCGTCTTTGTCTAGCGCCCTGTGATCGGAGCCTGCAGACTTTCCTCCTTCCTCCTCTGGAATCTGAGAACTTCCGGGGCTTGGCTCCTCCCTCCCTCCCTCCTCGGGCGCCGACATCGCCGCTTTTCTTTTGAATGGATTTCATCACCTTCCTGTACTCTGTCTCTCACTGCCGGCGGAGCTGAGCTGCAGTTTGATCAGAATTACACCGTGGCGAGCGAGAAGCCCACTTACGCCTCCAGCAGCAGCGATGGGCACAGCCATCTCCCTCTCTCTCTCCCTCCCTCTCTCCCTCTCTCTCTCCCTCCCTCTCTCTCTCTCTCCGGCTGCTTCTCTCTGTTTTTTTTTATTCATCCCTCTAAATTTTTCTTCCACGTCTCTCCTCTGGGAACTCACTAGTACCTGTTAACGTGTAGATAAAAGGATTTGGAGCATGACTTATTTAGGCAAGGGGAGGGGGTGGGCTAGCCACATCTGTTTCTGTCACCCCTCCCCTCCTCTCTCACTCGCTCCCAAACACGTCCCCCCACCCCACCTCATGCCTCCCCGACGCTGCACTGGCCGGATGTGGGGCAGCCGTCCCCTGCAGTCAGCCCCACCGAGAAGACGTTCCTGCAGACCCGGCTCACAGCTGTCTCACCCCGCCCCGGCTGACAAACCCTGTTTGCGCACACGGGCATGTTGCGCTTGGCACAGGTCGCCCCCCCTCACAACCCCCTCCTCCCCCCTCCGCGAACATGAACCGACCGTCTCGGTGAACTCGTCGCGCGCTGCAGCGAGCAGAGGATACGGTGACACGTGCACAAGGGGAGGAGGACGGAGGGTTGCAGCTTTTTTGGAGGCCGTGACAGCAGGTGCCGAGTGATCTAGTTTTTTGTGTTTCAAGGGGCTTCAGCTCCCCTGGTGGCCAAAATAAACATTACACACGCTGTGTTCTGATCATATAGAGACAATAGAGTCAATAATAGAGTCAATATTTGCCCTGTTTTTCCGTCATGTTAATGCCACAATCATTTATCCGTAAACCACCTCGGTGGATTTTACAGTTAAATTCCGGACCAGCTGTAGTATCAGAATTGGCGGCCTGATATCGCGTCCCCTCGAGGACGACACAGACATCCGCATTGGCCACCAATCATGGTTAAATACACGCTTCATCTAAATTGCATTGCACAGTACACAACGTCTGAAATGCAGCGTCTGGTTGATGAACCCTCCTCCAAACCCACCCACACAAACACAGAACACACCACATGGCGAGTTACCGGGCACATTTTGTGTGAAGCCGCCACAAGAGCTTTCCTCTTGGGCGTCCATCTAATGAAGTCAGCCTTGAAAGCCTCGTTTCTGCCGGCGGATCCGAGCCGAAAGCCTCCGAGGGACGTTGACCAGGCGGGAACAAACGGAGGGAGATGAAGGGAGAACACTTTTTATAGACGGCGTTGAGCGGGGGGGGGGGGTGGGGCCCTAAACTTTCGATATGGAGCCAGAAGCCGCTGGCATCTTCCAGCGTCCGTGTCGTGTTTTATTCCTCTTCTCAAATGTCAACTGCTGAGGAGGAGCGGTGAGGCCGCACTCTGCACATAATATAAAACAACGAATCGGAGGGTGGTAATAAAAAAATAAAAAAATACCACGCTGTTATTATGTAAATGTATGGTGATTGGACCTCTTTCTCTTATGCTCCCAAATTCACGGATTTTTTAACCCTCTGACATGAAAACCCTCCCGCCCACACACATGGAGCCCGCATACACTGTATATCCTTCACTCTCTTAACCGTAGTGAAACTGAGCAGGTCTTGTTTTCCTCTCATCTGTAGCGCGCGGCGTCCAATCACCACCTCTTCTCTTTGTGTAAAACGGTACCACCGGGGGTTATACGGTGTCTACATTATGAGTCAATTACGGGGCCACTTGACCCGGCAGACGCGCAACCGGACACGTGATCAAACACACCGACTGCAAAGAGGAAACGAGGCCTAAAGGATATATACAGTAATATCCAATATACAGGATTGCTTACGTCTCGACCCGTCAAAATGTTTTCACCTTTTTCTACCTTTATCTGCAGCCATATATATTTATAGACATACCTCCCTGTATGTACAGCACCAGTCAAGAGAAGAAACCCAAATGACTGACATGCACCGCCCCCCCCCCCCCCCCCCCCCGGGGGGGCGAGGGTCCCTGGTGGCCTTTCAACCCCCGGGAAACATTAAGGGATTCATGTTTTTGAAAACAAGTGTGTAAAACCCCCTTATTGGAAGGTAAATAATGGGGGGGGAATAATAACGGTTGAGGGGGGGGTGGGGGGGGGGGCTCAAGGGGTTTCGGTTGGGATTGAGAGATTGCACCAAGCGCCGGTCTCAAAGGACACCCCTGTGACTGAACCGTCGACGTGTTTTTAACTGGCTCGTAAAAGCCTGAGAAATGTCGGCAACTTCCTCAACAACTCTCCAGATTGCCAATTTATTGCAACCTTTTATGTCGCGTGTACACGACAGGTCTACTGTGCCTCCCCCTCCCCCCCCCTCCCCTCCCGGGGACACAGCCGGTAGTTAAAAAGTAGGCCTTCGGGTCGATGGGTGTAACACGTAGCTGGATTAAGAAGCTAATCGATCGTCTGCAGGACACGAGCAAAGTTCTTCTACTGTGTTTTCTTCCTCACTGCGCAAGGGAGCAGAATGCGTCTCACCCGCCGCGTGTTCTGTGCACGAGGTCATTCATTTAGATGGGCGATGTCTAAGATGGCTGCTGCCCTCCTCCCCCCCTGACTCATGGGTGAGTTAATGCTCACGAGGAGGTGGGAAATTGGCCCCTTTCAAGCCTCCTTATTTGAGCATCTTTCAAGGCGACAGCTTTGTGGTGGTCGTTTCTCTGCGGCTGCAGGGAAGCCGTGTATGAATGTATGAAGGGAGAAGCACATAATGGGCTTTTTATGCGCGCTGTTGACAAAATCCACACTTTATGGTCTGTTCCGCATGCGCGCGTACAGACGCGCAGGCTTTCTCGGAGACTTTGCGTCCCGCTCGAGGCCGCAGCACGAAGACACGAAGAACGCGGACAAATAACATTTCATGCTTTGGTAAATATCACAGTTAACTAATGATCGGCCACAGACAGCGTGATACACAGGGAGGCTCCCTGGGTTGCTATGAGGTGTTTGAATTGCATTTAGTTTACATTTCCTCAACGTAAGAAATTCTTTAATTACACATTAACATCAATTATATTGCCTTTGTTCAACTCTTGGCCCATTCTCAACATCTTTGATTTAGCTTCACGATAAACAGTCTATTAAATATGGATACAGTGTATATGATGTATATTCCTTTTCTTTCTGTTATTCAAGGCATTTTTAACACAGACTTATTCTCATGAATCAGTCTCAGTATATGATGCAATATCCCTTTTTTTTCTCCTCATGATGTTTCGCAGGTTTTTCAAAAGTCCTCTGATTCCAAATGCGATGCATCAAGGTAGCTTGACGCAACATTTGGCAAACTCACATTTTGTTTTCCATAAAGAACTCCCACATTTAATGATGCCGGTGTCCCGTACAGAGCTGTCACGGGCATCTGCGGCGTATTTCGGGAACCTTTCAGTACGCGCACCTTTAATGCACCTTTAATGCAGCTGCCGCAAGTTGCAGCAGGCTGCAAACCGCCGCCGCCGCCGTAAAGTCCTCTGTCCTCTGAGTCGTATTAGACCACGAAGGTGTTTCAACGACCCTTGTTCTCGTCGCCAAGCTTCTCAATAACCAATTAACAGAGAGACTAACCCCTCGGCGAGCACGTGAGTTATCGTGCCGGCGGGCGGGCGAGCGAGTGAGAGGATGAATCATTGGAGCCGGAGCGCTCTGTTTCCATGGCGACGTCGTGCATTGCGGTAAAGCTACAGCGGTGACAGAATTAGTGTTGGTCCAAGGAACAAACGCGGGACGCTGCACAACGGAAAAAGCATTGTGAGGAATTAAAAGGTCGGAGCTATTTAAGTTTCCCCCTGATGCGTTTCTTTTTCTTCCCTCTGCTCTCATCAGTGGCTGTTAGCGTTAACGCCGCGTCCAGCTTCTTAAATAAAGCTTTGTGTCGTCTCCTAGGTCACGGAGGGGAAGGCCGCGGCGAGGAAGGAGGCGGAGGAGGAGCCGTCCCGAGCCCCGCCCCCCGTCATCACGTTCTCGGGCTCCAGGCCGAACGGCTCCAAGGGTCTGCGGAGGCAGAAGAGGGACTGGGTGATCCCGCCCATCAACGTGGCGGAGAACTCTCGAGGACCCTTCCCCCAGATGCTCGTCAGCGTGAGTGACGCTCCTTTGTTTTTGTTTTTAAATACACAGCTGGGGGGGGATTTCTCCAGGGCGCTTCAACAAGCGCCTCGCCGATTGGTCGTGATGGATCCGGGGGGGTGGGGGGGTGGGGGGATTATTTATCTCGTGTAACTACACCCACAAACCGGCAGGGTCTAAACAATCCTCTTTTTGCCCCGAGTCGTTTTCCCATCAGCCCACTAAGCAGCTCAGCTCTCACCACCGCGTGACGTCCGTCGGGGGACCAACGAGCACACGGTTTATTCCTCCTCTCTTTTCCCTCCATCGGGCCATTTCACCAAAGGTTGCCCGAAGTTCAGGAAGCGCGGTTTTCATGGCTCCTTTTATAAGAATACGATTTGTCACGGGTTCTTCGCCCGAAGCCGTAACTCTGGGTCTCCCGTGACGTATAAAGAGAAAGTGTGAAAAGCGGATATTTTAGAGCCGGGGCGGTAGTTCGTCCCTCCAAGCCCTCGTTAAGGACGAGAGGCTGTAAACCGCGATGATGAACACGGATAATGAACTGCAGCCACGTCTCCGGAACCCAGAAAGTCCAGATAGCAGCACCTCAGCCGCTGGTGGCTCATTATTCATCCTTTATCCAATAAGCCCGTCCTCATTTAGGATTCCACATTTCAACAACCGGCTCCCAGCGCTGCATATTAGATTCCCGCAAAACTGCTACTTTGGATAAGTGCAACAAAAAAAAAAAACAACACAACATGGCGAGGGTCGGAGGTCGGGCCTGTGCGAGCCGCTACTGAGAAGAAGAAGAAGAAGAAGAAGAAGAAGAAGAAACACAAATAAATAACGGTTTGTGTGAAATGTGTTGTTGTGCGACAGACTCAAGTGCTTAAAATTCGGAGATTGTGTCGCAGTTCGCTTCTCGGCGAGCAGAGCTGGAGACTCTTTAAGCCGGTGGCGTCTGCGGCTCTTCATCAAAAAGCATCATTCCGCGCCCACTCTGCTTCTGCCTCCAGCCGCCGCATCCAGCCGTCAGCTCACAGAAACCCCCCCAATCTCTTTTGGGTCTTAAATTGTGCAAAAAGAAGCACTTTTGTTTCTGTTCTTTGCTTTGCTGCTGCGTGTTATCCGATCCCCGGGGGGGGGTAGAAACGGGCTGCTGGAGCCGCTGGAAGATACGATGCTTCTCTTCACAGTGGAACAAAACTATCAATCAAAGAGCGGAGAGTCTCTGTTCGGCAGCGCGGGTGTCAGAGCGTGGCCCCTTCTCGTCTCCACCCGAGTGGGGCAGCGTTCATCTGCTTCCTTGGGAGGGAGGGGGATGGCGGGGGGGGGGGGCAGCAACACTTTAAAGAATCGGGGTGTGCATCCAAACACAAACCCTCTTTGTGCGGTAAATAAGTGCGTCTGGGGGGCCGGTGGATGGCCTTCGCGGCGGGCGGGCGGGGGGGGGGGGAGGTGATGCGTGCTGATGCCTCCGCCGGCTCCTCGGGCTCCCGCCTTTCTCGTTAGCGATGACTGGAGGGCATGCGGGGCCGCGCGGAGGCCTGGAGCTTTTAACAAGGAGACAGGGGGGGGGGGGGAGCTCGGGGGGGTTCTCATACAGTCTGACCTCCGCGGCCGCCTGTTGACGACCGTTCAAAGCTATTTTGTCTCGGCGCAAACAACGACAACCAAAAAAAACCCATTTAGTGCAATTTCAAGTTTCGTGAAGGAACACGCGGCATCGGGGGCTCTGGGGGGGGGGGGGGGGGGTGGTCTTTCCATCTCCGGCGTCCTCTCCTGTCTCGCTCGGCCTCGGCTCCTCCGTGTGCGGCGCTTGTGTGACGCCTCCCCTAATGGCCTGCGGAGTCGCTCCCTCTCCTAATGGGCCGCTCTGTCAGCCGGCGCGGCGCTGAGTGACACGCAGGAGGCGGACTCCCCCCCCCCCCCCACCCCTCCCCCCCCCAGCCGCTGTCCCTTTTTCTCCGCCCACCCGAGCGGCCCTCACCTGCGTCTCCGTCACTTTGACGGGGGGGGGTGGGGGGCGGCGCGGCGCGGGACCGGGCAGGTGTCAGGACGCAGGGGCCCCCCGGCCGACCGGCCGCTGACGTGGCCCCGGGGAGATGTTGACTGCTTGGGTAAAGTCCTGACAGAGCGCCCCCCCCCCCCCCCCCCCCCCTCACGTTATCGACTTCTTTATTAATAGCAGCTCTGAAATAATTGCTCCAGACTCCTCAGTTTGTGCTGACGGGTGACGCACGCGGTCACTCCAGTGGCTAAACCCCCCCCCCCCCCCCGGTGTCAGAGATGTTCAGAATGTTGCTCGTCATTAGCTTCACGGATGTTGCATTGTCCCGTCCCCCAGATGATGGACAGCAGGGCTGCGCTGGAAAAACTGCAGCAGCTGCAAAGAGAGGAAGCGGCAAAGAGTCGGCATCAGCAGCGCGGCAGCCTCTTGACACGACGTGCATAAATGCATGAAGCGGCGTGCAAATGCGACGGCGCGCTGAAACATCTCGACTTACAAGAGACGCCAGCGCCGCACGACTTTCAACAAAACGGGATTCTCTCTCAGCCCCGTGGAGGAAGGCGGTTTCCTAGGAAATAAAGAGAGGAAAAGATACAGAAAGACTAGAAACAAAGAGCGGGGGGGCGGGGGGGGGACGGGGGGGGGGCATTTTCCACAATAAACAGGTGTTCTTTGTCGTTCTGTATCTTCCGCAGCCAAACAGCCATCAATAGCATGTAAGGGACATCGATTTTTCACAGAGGCTTTTTGAAACCTCCCATTGATTCGCACACTTCTCCTACGGCAGAGAGGCATCGATTTCTTCTGCTCGGGTAAATAAAGACTCAACGTGCCCCCCCCTCCCCACCTCCCCCCCATCCCATCCCACCACCAGCCAACTCCCTTAACCCTCCATTAGAACAGCAGTCAGCAGAAAAAATGGAGGAACGAGACGAGCTATTAATATATGTTTGTCCAGCGAAATGTCTTCTTCATTCTGCGGCAGCATCGGTGAGACATCTGTAATCATTCAACATTTAGAGGGATGCTTTTGGGAAATATGCTTATTCGTTCAGTGCGCGCGAGACGGTATTATATCATATGACGCTACAGGAAAAGGAGACTAACCAGGATTAGGGCTAAAAAAAGGGTTAGAGGAGGCTTAAAAAAATGTTTTTTTTAGGAAAATCTTTTACAGATGCACGTTTCCTTCTACCGCTTTTTTTTATGTTGCCGTTTGGAGTATCAGGAGTTGAATGTTAAAATTCAACTAATGATTTTCTGAGTAACAAATAGAGGGTTGCAACCCTTTGTTTGAATAATACAATATATTCAATAAAACTCTGTATGGAGGTCGATCGATCCATTTATCATCCCGTCCGTCGGTTGGCTTGTCATCAGTGGGTGTGGATGGATGGAGAAAACACACACGGTATCGACTAGAGACAGTGAGGCAAACGATGACAAATGTGCCCGTGTTCACCGGCGAGACAGCCATTGAAAAAGAGTCGGTCAGCACTGCAGGTACTCGCTGCCCTCCGATGTCTTATTGTTGAGTTGTTTTTAATTTCGTTCGTTTTTGAACACTGTTACCGCGGCGCGGCGCTCTTCCCGGGCCGGTTACGCCTCTCGAAACAAAGCAACGACGACACAGTTGCTAAGATGATATTCAGTAGGATACTGCGACTTAAACACGTCAGTATCAAAAACCCGGTGAGTAAGTGTCCTGATGTTGGCTGGAAGCGCCGTTTGCCTCAGATTGCCAGTCGTCTCCTGTCCGTCGCCTCGCGCTTAATGGACAGATGCAGACCGGCAGCAGCCTCTTTTCGTCCTGTCTTTGGCTGTTAATCCACTGCAGCACTTTTGTGCTTTTCTTCAGCCTGGTCTCCTGCTTTAATGAAACGACAAGCACAGTTATAGAGCGATTTACATGTAGGAGGAAATACACACACGCAAATACGTGTGTTCACATGCATGATGAACCACATCTCCACTCAGACAGACGGCAAAAGAGTTTCATGATGGAATGGAGAAGACTGTTAGGAGCTTTGGACCTTCCATTCATCCTCTCTTCTCTTCTCAAACCTGTTGCTGAGAGACGGGACTTTTGGGAGCTGGAAAAAGGGGGGGAGGAGGGGGGCTGTGAAAATGCTTTTTTTTTTGCTTTTACATCCGTCTTTTTTATTCTACCAGCTGCCGTCGCGACAGAGAAGCCAGATATTTCAACAGAGCGTTGCTGCATCCCTCAATAATCACAGGACATCATCGACAGAAACACCACAGGAGCATTAGCCGCAGCGATGCACCAAATAAATGGCTGCTTATCTTAAGCCCTTTATGGACTGACATAAGGAGGGAAATAGGTTCGTTTGATATCATTTGCACCAATAATTTGCTGTAAGCTATTTATTTCTCTGTAATAGCTTTAGCAAACGTGTCAGATAAAACCTGAAGCCTGAATGTTAAACAGAATACCTCCATTTGTATGTGATTGGATGCGCGTCTGGCGGTGTCCACTGGACTCGCCGTTTCCACGCGTGTCTCCGCGTCGAGGAAAGCCGCGTGTGCATCCGTCTACCGGTGGTTAAAGGCCGCTCTGCTTCCCTGAGGACGGAGACAAAACCGAACAAAGAGAATCCCGAGGAAACAGGCGGGACAACGGGCGCCGTACTGTACCAGAGAGATGATTGGATCGGAGCAACACGAGGAGGAGCTGGAAGGGGGGGGGGCGGCAGGGCTAGAAGGGCATTAGGGACACTCCTGGGCTCGGGGGTTTTGGGTCTCATGGACCTCCCGGAGAATCGGCGTCCCGCCCCGCTCGCTTCACCCCGGTGTCTCCTCGCCGCTGAGACGCACACTCACTCACTCGTAAGCCTCAGCAGAGCGCGTGTTGATTTTATATGTGTTCTTGTTTAGGAGTTTGTTCAGTCACATGTCTGCTTCATCCCCGAACAAAGAAGAAAACAGACAAACAAGATCTTGATTTTGTTTTTTTAGCAGCAGCAACATCGGGACGCTCGTGTTTAAGGATCACAAG